ATATCGCTCTCGAAGCCGCGGAAAGGAAAATAATTCCACTCGTCGCTACGATTTTCGACTGCGATTCTCCGCAAGGGTCGATATCCGGATTTACTCATGAAAAGGCTCCGTCGCGGAAGCCATTGACTATGCAAAGGAATCAATGGGCTCATTCGTCGATGTACCGACCGAATGGGAGCTCTTTGTCGAGGGGATTAGGTTGATAAATATGTTGATTGAAAAATCTTCATCATTCAAGCTTGTGAGGAAGGATTGGATGCACGGAAGGCAAAGTCCCGGTGTCAGAGGCATCGCAGGGTCCGGCTCTCAGCAGACTTGCACCATCGACGCGTCCATCGATTTCTCGATCGGCACCGATCGCTCGGGAAGCGAACAGAAACTTTGAGGAATTGTCATCTGCGTTCCCAAGGAAGATGGAAATCGCTCACCTTCAGTAGCCGCCTCCGTAGTTTCGTCGACGGATGGAGATAAAATTTCGAACATTTTCCTACACATCCTTGACTTCGATTTCCCTCGGAATGGAAATGTTTCATTGTTGTCGACTTCGGGCCAGACAGCGGGGTACAGAACTCTAAAAACCGACCAACTTCAACTTGTCATCATAGTCTGCAGCTGCAGCGGCGGCGACGGCGCGGCGTCCATCGAAACGGGATTCTGTTGTTGACGCTCTTCACGTTGACGAAGAGTCGATCCATTCAAGAATTCCACACAAGAAAAATAAGAAGAGCGACAATAAGCTTCAGCACCACTGGCTTCAGGGGCATAGCATTCCTCGTGACAAGTTCCATGGATCTGAAAGACCACGTATCCTTCGCTTCGTAAGCTTTTCAGTTCGAGTTCGAAATGCTTCGGCTTTCGCAGCGAAGCACGCTCGGCATACCTTATCGTATATACGCGTACGTTATCGTATGCGTATCATTCTCGCAGCTCATAGTACGTCCGCATCATTATAATGCATTCCATAGTCGCCAGGTCATTTATCAAACCACAAAGAAGCAAAGGCCAGAAGACACGGCAGACGCCTCTCAGAATCATGATGATAACGGTGATAATTATGATGATTGTTGATCGACCGATTGATTTTATGCCTCGAAAGGTTAGAGCATCCGAGGAGGTCTACAGCAGCTTCTCGATCCGAGGGCAGGACTGAATGTGAGCGGAAAATGGCTACGATGAAGATGGAGCTGATAACAATGACATGAATCGGAAAGCTTCGTGAGCAATGTCACGGATTGAACGGGATGCGTATTTGAAGTTCGCGGTATTATTAGTAACACATTAGAATTCAATCGGCTCGCGCGTATGGTTGTGCGTGATGAAAGTGTACTTCGAGCGTTTGTCCCGAACGCTTTCCTTTCCTGCGTCATTTCGACGATTCCGTGTTGACAGCTCTTCGATGCCCTCTCCGACCCGATCCTAATGAGACTCATTCAGTCAGTACGCCTGTCCGTTAGACCAAAACTTCGCCCACATATTCGTCGGCTCTCATGACGGATTCTTGCATGGCTTGAAGTCGCTTGTTTTTCTCTTGCAATGACCACTTACGAACTAAGAATCGCTCACCTGACCTCCATGGCGACGAAGTCGGGCTAAACGATCCTTACGGTCGACCCGCAGGGACTCGATTTTATTCTCGTTAGAATATTTATTGAGCATTCGTTCCGCGGTTTCCACCGATTCGCTCGAGCGAGGTAAAGAGACAGTTCGTGCATCTTTCCGAATGCCAGCTGTCTCCACATTCCGTCAACTGGTCAGGCGGCGGCGCGCTCGCTAACTTTGACGCCGGCGCCGCCGCTGCAATGTCCGAATCGTGATGCGCAGCCGGTAATTGCGGTTATAGGCGATGTAAATAGTGAAGAGCTATCAGAAGATTTGGTGGTGAAGACCTTCTTTCTTCACTTGCGTTTTCTGTATCTATCTCCTCTGACAGGGACCTTCGGGATTCAACGGTTCCCAAGGTCGCTATGTCATCGTTCGGGCGCACATCATCGTCATTTATATAATTTTATGCCCAGAGTAATAATAGCTCTTCTGGAGACCTGCTGGTGGCGGGAGCTAGGCAGGCCGGCCGGCAGGTAGGCAGGCCGGCAGGAGGGAGTCGTCGTCTCCGTAGTGGTGGTAGTTGCGGTGCTCGTCGACGTCGACTACTCTTTCTTCGCCTCGATCATCTTGGCCGTCGCGTATTCCGGGTGGCAGTGTGTGGATAAATAGATGAATTATCATGCCGTTCACTTTTGCAGTCAAGTTTAACAAAGCGACGTTGAATCCCACTGGGCCGAGGTTCAAGGTCTGGGACCTCACACTGTATTCTCGATTCATGGAAGGGGAGGGGGTGTTTTGATACAAGACTTGCATCGGCTCAACCTTCATCGAAGCGCTTCGATATCACTCGGAGTCGTGCGACAGCGGCAGCATATGCCGTGGTGCCCATCACCATCGGCTACGCGCGCGCGCGGACCCTGACCATCACTGCACTCAAGACCATCATCTTCATTATCGTCATCATGATGGTTGAACATACATAAATATATCTTGAAATCATCTACAAACCAAAAGGCTGTCATTGTCGAACGCCGTTCACTGGGAACCCTACGGTATCATAATCATCAGGACGGCCGGAGGGATTACGATCGTCGTGATCTATGAATGTATGATATGTAGATTCGCGTGATCAGCACGAGCTCTCTCCGCCCAGAAAAGCTTATCCCCCGTTTCACGCAGTGTTTGTTGTCAACGGTGGCGTCCTTTATTCGAAGACGCATCCGAGGCAGGGCTAGCGGGGAATTTTATCAGAAGCTGCCTGATGCTTCAAAGCAACGGTAGGTTTTATCAATGAGGAAGACTCCGCTCGATCACCCGCGGAGCGGAGAGGAGTGCCCCTGTCTTGAATATTTCTGGCTCGGGATTTCCAGATGATTGCGCGTCTGATCAATGACTGTTACTACGTTCTTTACTACTACTACTACTACTACTACTACTAGAGGGGTCACGCCACGTAACGGTGGCAGAGCGTTATGATCGATCGGATTTCGTCCCACTGGGCGTTCGAAGATTTCGCCCACTTCACGGTTGTTTGAACAATCACCCGCGGAGACGGACGATCTTGAGACCCGAACGCGTGCTGGAATCGCGACCAGAGCTCGCTTGTATGGTCTGAGGTTCTCGGATGCGACTCGCGTTATGATGGGCCTGATTTCGCCGGCAGAAGTCGGAATATGCTGCACTGAACCATGCATCGAAATGTCTTGAGAAGCCTCGCCATCGATCTTGATGAACGCTTATCTATCAAATCTATCTGAAAATATTCGAGGAGGAAGGTCCAGCGTTCTCCACTCCGTTTCTCAGAGAGTCGGCGGGTCCTCTCCGGAAAAGCCTGCTCCCTTAGAGCCGTCGACGAGGATGGATTAAGAAATGAAACTTCGTCCGCGGGGGCTTGAACCTCAGAATCTCGAGCAGCGGTCCGGATCGAAATTATCAAGATTCCAAGGACTTCGCTCTCCAGGGCTTCGGAGAGAGGCGTTCAGCTCTTCCGTCTTCTCCAGCCCAGATAATCTTTTCCGCCGTGAATCCTCGAGGCGCCGCCTCTTTCCCGCGCTCGAGATTCATTGACGCAGCAGACTTTATAAGTGAGCTCGCGCATAACCGGTGCCACCGCGCAAAAAAGTTGAAGCCATAATCTCGGAGGGCAAGCGCAATCTCTACCGCAGATTACTCCATCCTCATGGAAATATCCTCGAGAGGGCTCCTGGATTGTGCGATTGGTCACTCGAACGTCGTCCCCCGATGGACTCTGGATTAAGAATCCTCGAAGAGAGCCCAGAACTATCCTCGCAACGAGCCCAGTGAATATCGTCAGTTGAAGATCCTGGTATCACCAACCGACGATATTCATATTCATAGTTCATAATTATTAGCCCGATACCTGCTTATATTCAATATGGTAACAGTAAATCCATGCCTGCACAAGCATGATGCTGATCTTCCCCTCCCGCGGGGGAGAACTTCCAGCTAACTCATCATCTCTCTGGTACGGAGGGTTCGCCATACGTCGAACACAAGGGTGATGCCGCGATCACAGCCATGATAAGCAAAGCGGATCCGACGACCATTCAACAAAGGAACGGTGCGCGTAGACAGGGAAACAGTTTTCACAACGCTGGTTTCGTTCTTGCTCGATTGGCGTTTTTTCGCGACGCTTTATCTCCCGCGTATTCGATTGCTGTCAGCCGACAGACCACCCTGAGGTTGCTCAATGTTTTGGATAACAAACGCTTTTCTTGTCGCGTCCCACAGACATCCAAATGTACACATGGAGCTTAATTAGAATGATGCGAACCTCGCAAGCGCGAGCTCCCGCCTTATAGGAACAGCGCGAAACGCCGCGCGAACGAGACGGGTGCGGCTTCCGCATAATGCGGCGTCACCAATCTCGCATCGAAGCCGGAGGCACATCATTGAGCTAGCGAGGGAATTTTCGACATCAAAGAACAATCAAGTTTCCCAGACTGCGGAGCATTCAATACTTTCGACTCGACGCGTTTTTTGGAGCTCCGCGGGCTGATTAATCAACAGCCGTCAAAAGGTCTTTATTCGGAATCTCGATTCATCCGCAAACAAGATGCTGATCTTCCGCGATTGAATGTCACAGAGGGAGCCTGTGCCCGGGACTACGGGACTTGTGGGTTGTGATTGATAATAATCACTTGAGTCGGAGCCGAGATATCGCCGATAGTGGAACGATAGGAAGAAAGTCCGTGTCGAATCCTAGCACCGTGTGCTGATTTCCAGCCCATCAGGGTTTCGATGCCCGTAATGAACAATGAGATTGGCGACATCGGGGAAACCCTTGGTCTACACCGACCGGCCGGTGGTGCCAGCTGCCGGCCCCGCCTGACAAGCTTCGAACTTTGGCGCGTTTTCGTAGTCTGTTGACGATGTGGAGAGAGCGTCGATTGAAAATGTTGTAAACAAACTTTCCGGTGTGCTGTCGAAGTGGTTGTTGTTGAGCTTCATCGTCATCTTTTTCGCTGCGGAAGAACGATGTTTTCCGTGCGCAGCTCGCGATAGTATCTCGAAACTGAAGGTGTCGCTAATCCAGAGATTCCCGTCTGATCGTGATTGATTACGGAAACATCTAACTACAAGCTTTGTCGACAACGGCATCGAGCTCGCCACGAAACGTGTAATACAAATGCTCACTGCTACGGAAGCCGATCATTCCCCACTGTCAGCATCATATATTGAGTAGTGAAGAAGTCAGAACGATAGAGCCAACAGAAAACAAACGTTGCCGGCACGATGCCAGGCTTCAAACCCGGGATCAAAATCAGTCTCAGCGCCAAGAAAGACGACGGCGCTGAGTCCAAAACGAAGCCGAAACCCACCGTGGCCGAAGTTTTCAATGATGACAGTGAATCAGAAGAAGAAATGCCAGCAGAAGCTCGCATTAGAATGAGGAATATCGGCAAAGACACTCCCACGTCGGCCGGACCCAATAGTTACGGGAAAACGAGTCGAGGCTTCACCGACCGACGAGCCGAGCTCGAGAAGAAACTCCGACTGCAACTTGAGGAAGCGGCAGCGGAAGCCGAGAAACGCAAACTCCAGGCGGAGGAGTCGGGTGATGCGGCGAAACGGCCTAGAAAGGCGGAAGACGCTGCGAAGATCTCCAAGATAAATGACGTTTTCACCGACACCGTCCAGGAAGATCCCGATAGCAGTTGATGTATATAGGGAAACGCTTCAAGATGATTTATTTTTGCCGTTACTGTCGGGCAACAGCAGCAACGACACTTGTAAAAGACGACGTATTCTTTGGACGTTGTTCGTATCCTTCTCTCCGTCTAGGGTATTGCATTGCGCAGCTTTTATGATTCTCGACTATGAAATTTCATCTTCCTCTGAAATCATGGAGCGAGTCTGGTAGAAAAAGTCGAGGGTCGATGGAACATGAACAAAGAGGAGCGAGTCGAGCGTGCCGGTCCTTCCCAGGCGGAGCGGATCGAGAGTTCAATTGGTCGGAGTCAAGAAAACCTGTATTATTGTTTAACGTACAATAAACGAACAATTATTATGCCGTGTAAATTGAGTGGAAAGCCCGCAATCATGATTTCCTTGTATGTTGCATGAGGTGGCTCATGATTTTCACCATCAACTCATTTGGTGCGAGGTTTACGCTGCGCAAACCAGGGCGGAATGAGTTCGGGGGTTTCCCAGGATTCCCGCGTCGGTCTCGAAAATCCTGGGCAGCCGAAATGCGCGTATTTGCTATTCTTCGACTGCATTTTTCTTCGATGAAAAATAGCGCCACGCAGCAGCGGGCGAGAGGATGCGTGCGCTGTAATCAATCTGACTTGGAAGGTGAAGCAGCGGGGAATTACTTTTCTTTCACTTGGAACGGGAGAAAACATAGGGATTCAATAATTCACCGAAAGAGGGAGACTTTTTTATGCAAAACCGATCACTCGCTCAGAAGAAGATCGTGACACATCACGGTTGCGATCGACGAGAGTCGACGCTGAGGCGGCAAGTGATTATTCTGGGATTGATGATAATTTACATCTGATCTCCTTCATTAGCCTTCATTGTAGCAATAGATGAATCGATCTGGATGCGGAATTTCCGAAAAGGAGCTTCGATGCCGCTAAAATGAGGAAGGTCGTGCCACCAAAGTCCGATGCAAAGCTCAGAGCCTATATTCTCTTTGTGCAAGTAAATTAGTATTTGATTAGATACCACTCAACACCTCTAATTCTGGAAGGCTCTTCGAGATGCTCACCGTAGCTGAAGGACTGAATGGGTGATCTTTTGATCATTCACGGATCATAGAGATATCTCGTGACTCGTAGACAAATATCCTCACCATATTCTTGAGGGACGTGCGTCGATGATCATTCCGATCATCGTCGTATACATTACTCCAAACGCCAACTTGCGAAGCCTCACCGCCAGTACCTTGCGGGCGAGTGGATGAAGTTCGTCATATGCGAGGCCTATTCAGATCGTAGCTTATCATTGAGACTGCTTCTTAACCTCGGAATCGCGAGCATAAGCTAGATGCAACGAGAACGGGGTTGCTCGCGCGGGGAAGGCCCCTCGATGCCTCTGACCGAGTGAAGAATGCTCCATCCTTCGGCTCATCTCCGTCTGTCCGTGGGGAAGTGTATTCTAGGAATGTAAGCTAAACTACCCCCTGATGATTGTCTAACGGTTCTCGATTTTCCAGCAGAAACCAGTCCGGATCCCTCGAATCAAAACAAGCCCTTCGTCCCATGCAAAGTTTGCGGAGACAAGGCCTCGGGCTATCACTACGGCGTCACCTCTTGCGAAGGATGCAAAGGATTCTTCCGGCGGAGTATCCAGAAGCAGATCGAGTACAGATGTTTGCGTGACGGGAAATGTCTCGTGATCCGGCTCAATCGTAATCGCTGCCAATACTGCAGATTCAAAAAGTGCCTCGCGGTCGGCATGTCCAGAGACTGTGAGTCCATGCCGAACGATTGTGCTCGGCCCATCAAATTTCAGGAAAGCTCTGACCACGAAGCATGGACGTGCATCTTACAGGAGCGTTCACTTCTCTCCTGAGTGTGTTGCATAATAACCGGTTCAGGAATCATCAGTTCAAAAGCTTCCCTCTATGTGAAATAGTTTGTCGTTTGCATGCATTGTAATGGAAGCCTCGATTGGTAATCCGGACTCGGACCTGGGTCCGAGTTCCAGCTCGTTTTTCGGCGATGAATTAAGCAAGGGTTTTCCAGCCGTCCGCTATGGACGAGTCCCGAAACGTTCACGGGAGCGCGCCGAGGAAGCCCATGTCTCATCATCGGACGACCAGGCAGCTGCTGCGCGAGAACTGGAAACGAAGCAATTGGCAATGTACGACATTATCCTGACCATCTCCCAAGCGCATCACGCACACTGTGGATTCACGGAGGAGAAAACGCGGGGTCTTATCAGGAAGCCTGCCCTACTGGTGAGTAAAACCACTGACTGACGAGGGCAGCAAGTCATGAATCAGGGACCGTGATTGAGCGGCATCGAGGTGAAAATGATTCTATAACGGCCATTCTCCATTTTCAGACTGCGAACGAGATCAAGCTCGACAGCGGATCGACTGCCGACAGTATGGAGATGGAACGATTGACCATGTGGCAACACTTCGCTGGTCTCGTCACTCCGTCCATTCAGGATATTGTAGAATTCGCGAAACGAATCCCGGGCTTCCTTGAATTCGCTCAG